GGCCAGGGCAGAACGGGAGATACCATGACTGTTTAGCACACGTTTGGTCAAAGGATTGGTTTCACTTGTCGCTTTGACGAGTTGTAATATGTTGCTACGACTGGTAAAACTCACTGACGATGCCGGCGAAACGTCTGGGAATGTACCGCGTCCACGATCCGACTTTGAAAATAATTATGCATACAGTGAACTCCGGACAAGGTGCGTTTGTATAAATCTTCCTACCATGTTGCGAAAACAAGGTCAAACAACTTCTATACATGACTAAGTGAAATTTAATGGAAACGTGAGACCCATTCATGTGAGGTTGTGGGTAAATTAAACTTGCAGTCTTTCATCACCTCAAGAGAAATAGTGTGGCCCCGACTTCTATTCTGTCAATACCTCAACGACTGCATTCTCAATCTGTAATGTACGAGGCTTCGAGATTCAGCCATTCAATAATTATTCGTTCGACCTCTATTACGGTCAGTTATCCCAGTTCATAAGGTCACCCCAGCGCGATATTTTATGTTCCTACTCTAATTGAACGTCGTCGGGATGATTTGAAAAGGCTGAACATAAGCTGGCCCTCTTTTCAAAGGGTCGTCTCCCATTTCCTTAGTTGACCTTCGACCAACTTCTACTTCCGAACAATTTACTCGCGCTTCGAGCCATTAATGTGTCATCTGCTACACGGCGATCTTCAGAGGTTCGGCGTAAGACAATTATTTTAGCTGCTGGGACTTCGAGTGACATAATAGCATCACTAACCTAGATGATTTGTAGAAAATATATCTCAAGGAGTAGGTCATTATGAGGTTGTCTGGACAAACACAGGCCAAATTATGATATTCTGTCATGGTGAGGATTTAAGTGAAAAGTGTAGTCTCGAAGTTTCCTTCCTCTAAGCCTGCTCCTTCACTTCATTTCTCCATAATACATGCCACTTTGTATCTATAAGTCTTACTGTTGCAGCTGTCATCTTCCTTAGTCTCATATGCCCGAAACCACCCTAAGCCTTCAATTCTTTAATTACTTCTGGGTCGTCACCCAAGCAAGCTATGCATCATGCATTGTGCGGTGATTCAGCTTCTTCAGTCATATGTTTACTGGTGTGTTTACAAGGAAGAAGACAAATAAGGGACCTTTCTTAATTTCTTGCTCTGCCTCACCTTCGCCGTTCCTTATGCATGTTAATGTGTGAATCTCATGTCTGTTTTCACCTGTTTGCCGAGGGTCCATATTCGACTTCACCATGTGGGATAGGCATATTTTAAGAAGTGACCCGGATTTTCATCATCCGTTTGTTATTCAATCCGTTTCACCAAACGTCGCATGAAAACAATTCCCTCTTTTGCTTTGGGAGCCAATCGTGCCAGAAAACCTCCCGTACTTCATCAAGAGGAAGCAGATCACAATGGACTGGCTCGTTTGGTACGATAGAATGCATCAATAAATTCTTATAAAAGGTATTCATCCTATTTCGTTTAAGTTGGTGAAAGACTGTCAGTAGAATTTTCCCACAGCTGACGTTTCCATTGAATTTCACATCTTCATGAAAATCCACTCGAAATGCGCCAAGAATGAAAAGAATCTATACGTAAGTTGACATCACCTATATCGCATAAGTACATGCAACAATAGTGGAATCCTTTAAGGTCGTTTTTGACGACTAATATTTTATCTATGTTCACTTTATGTGACCGAAACTGCATGGTCTTGCTATCAGTTGGTCATGGGGCAGATGTGGCCTCCAAGGCGAGACGGAACTCCCAACTTTTGGGGTTGTAGGGTTTATAACAATAGGGCCAGCTTGTATATGAGATGGGTGGTCTCGAAAACCTACTTATAAACGAAAAAAGTAATATGAGATGTATTCACCCTGTTTCGTTTAAAGGGATGAAGGTCTGGTAGTTGAATTTACCCACAATGATATGAGTTGAGCTGACATTTCCATTGAATTTCACATAGCCTTGCTTTCCCAAAAGTGGACTACAGTTTCGACCTCGCATTGATCTTATCAACACCCCAGCGGGAGTCGAACCGTGACATTGCAGAATGGGAGCTTGACACGCTAACCACTCGACCACATTGCCACGAGTGCCCTTGAATTTCAAGGAAGGCCAGGCATTGGTGGGATTGTCGATGAAGCAAACATACATTTGCCATATCAATCGACTACGTTACTTATTTTTCGCGTCAATGGAAACGTCAGCTCCACTCATATCATCGTGGGAGAATTCTTCTTCTACCAGTCCTTCATTACCTTAAACGAAATAAGGTGAATCCATCTCATATCACTGATTTACTGGTAGTCTTGAAACTCTACTCAAACAGAAAAAAGTAATAGCTTGTGTTTTCAGCTAACCGACCTCTGTGTCCATTGTGAGTAGAACGATTGTCGAGCTTCACCAGTCCTCAGACGAGATGAGCGCTAAGTATGTATTAGTCCTGCTGATAGATACCTGCAAAGCCAATAACTGGACTCGACTCCTGCGCAAGGCCTCGGACAGGCCTAGACGGCGCCGAGACTCTAGCCTGCTCTGGAGTCGAGCGCCATTCTGCGGTACAGACTGGCGTCAAATTAATTGGAAAAGTCGAACCCACTTTTTGTTCTGTCCGAATGTTATGCATACGTGAAAAGGTGCGGACTCTGGGCAGTAGATTTCGTTAAAGTTATACTGACCCCACGAACTGTGCATCCACACATCTTGAATGGGCGATTTAGCAAGTCATTATTAACTGTCACTCCAGGCATTCCGATATCTGCGAAGGAAAGTTGGGTTTCCAGGAGTCCCTTGTTTCATAATTGTCGAGCTTACTTCCGCTTCGAGTGAAAGTGTTCGGTGGAGAGATCCGTAGGTCGATCCCACCAGAAGACAACGGCGGATTCCTCTTGGCCAGTTGTCCGTCATATGACCAAACTCATCAGAGCACGGTATCATCCTTACAACCAAATTCAAGCTTAGAACATTTTCGCGGAATCGAAGGAGTTCACCTTGGCGACAGCGTCAACAAGAATGTTGAGGTATAGCCAATCGAGAGCTTAAGTGCATATGCCTTCCATTCTCTGCATGATGGCCTGGACAAATAAGTTTCGTTCCGTCTATGTACATTGACGCGAAAGCCGAGGGCGTAAATGAGACACTTTGTTTTGGTAATAATAAACACTCCGGGAACCGAGCCAAAAGATGCAACCTCGTCCGAAGGCGGTAGCAACTAGAAGATGTTACGTTTAGGTGTGGCGACAGTGAAAACGCCCTAGTCCAGAGGATTGCTTCATTCCAAGACCGACTGTATCTGGTTTACGTCGACCGGAGTATTTCCCAATTGCGATTCTGCGTCAAACCGAATAAAGTGCTGTGGCTGTGTGTCGATTTTCTATAATTCATTTCCGAATAGAATTTCGCGACTATTAGCAGACCTGCTAGAATCTGTATGCCTCGGGCGGTGACGGCGACGCTGACGCTGACGCCGCCTGGTTGTTGTGGGGAGGACCTTTTTCGCGTCTCAAGACTTGTAGGCCTCGTGGCTTTCCTGTGACTGCAGAGCCAATGAATAGTACTCGCCGGTAGAAAGCATCAATTCGGCGTTCCCTTGGACGCAGGAGTGAAGCATGCAAAGGAAGTGTGTGGACATGTCCTTGCGTCTGGTTGCGACGTTAGATGTTTCAACAGACCCAGAGCCGACACCGGGGGCCGTAAGTCACTGGTGGCAAGGCTGGCGACGGCATCACGTAGCGAATACACTTCGCCTGAACCACTGAACACGCCAAGGCAGCGAAATCTCACAGCATGGAAAGAAAGGGACGTAGGTTAGATGTGGGGGGGGGCGGCGAGCCGGTGAATATTTGCTAGGATTGAGGGAAGAAGCCCAAACGATAGATATACCAAAGTACTATTAATGCTTTATAGGAATGCAGCACAACTTCTACTATCATATCTACCGAAATCCCCATACATCCATCCACACGTACTCATGCCTGCGTCCCATACGTCCCATACGTCCCATAATCTAATCCGTCATCCCGTTATCTCTTCGTTATTAAACCAATACACCTCATTCAACTAGCTACGCTTTATACTCATCTTTCGTATTACTTATTGTCTACCACACACCTTCATCTGCCCATCCACCAAAAGACATTCACAGGTGAGATAAGGAGAGGTGATTTGGCTGGCAACAGCATCATCAGGCTTTGTTTACCAGCTTGACCAACGTTGCATACCTTTTACATGGGCTGAATTTTATCATACCCGATGCGCGCCAGTCCGCTCTGTGAAGGTCACCTTAGTAAACTTTTCCATGTACATGTACATGTGACGAAAGTGTTTTATGGGGAGCCCATCGAGATGACGTCCAAATGTTACGACCCAATCCTGGACTTATGTCAGTACCCAGTCATCATTCATAACTACTTTGTGTGCAATTTGTTATCCCATTTACCATCAAACTCTATTGTAGCACTGTGTCGGAATCATCGTACTGCTATGTCCTTATTTATGTAATCACTCTTGGAAACGACTTTTCCATCCCAACCATTTGCTTGGGTGCTTACTGACCTCATCCGTACGACCCTCATAAGTGTTTCCCCGGTGTGCATTACTTGTAATCACTCATCTGACTGCTCATCTGGGGATAAGCATCAGTTCAACGTTGCTCTTTTGCTGTCTTCCTATTTTCTTCGGCTCCAATCCCCTCTTGCTTGGTTTTGAACTGAGTTCCTGCAAACTAATTTCTTGTTTCCTTCCTTCCCTGGGCCCTCCGAGTGCCCAGGCCTTCACGGTAAGCTAGCTCGGAACTGATGCTGGGCGGCTGGATAACAGATGCCAAGTTATCATTGCTGGAAGGTTCTAGGCGAAGGACAGTGGAATGCCGCCAACTAGTCCATATGGCTAAGTGTGGTCTACTGGTGCGTAAGGTGATTTATCACTTAGTTGTTTCTATGTTGAAGCGAGTGTCCATTCATAGCTTTTTAATAAGGTCCCGTTTCTCGTCAGTTTTGAAGGCAACCAGTTTTTCTAAGGCGAGTATCAGTTCAGTTTCAAAGAATCCGACCCATTGTTAGTTCGGGGTCTGCATTCAGCGTGCCCCCAACGTAGTCAAGCCACGTTCCTTCCATCTATTTATTTATTATGGAGTAAACAAAGACGCACATTTCTGCATATAAAATCTTTCTATAAACAATCATTTTTGGACGGTTTGCATCATACTATCACTATATGCATTGGTGGTTATCCTTTGTTTATTTCTGGTTACCAGGTGGACTTGTTATTTTGCAATGTTGCAGCCCAGACTGGATGTTCATTTGACCTATGCCAAAGATTGCCAAAATGAATTCTTCTCGTATGGTGTCGTTAACTTGGCTCTACAGAGTTAGCTTCTGTATTATCTGTTTCATCCCTTTAATCACCATTTTATATGACATTCAAACTCAACCCCTACTAATATTTGCATTAAAGTAATGGTGAAATAGGGATATAATGTATAAGAACCAGGTGTTTTTTCTTTAAAGGATTCAAATCTCCTTCCATTTGGCTTTAACAAACCCTGAATAATTAGTTAAACGTCAGATAAATATCCCTAATTTTCTGCCACAGAGGACCCTCACCCGGGTCTATTCGCAGGCCGACTACAGTGCACCATTCCGAATAGAGACACACTTTGCTGGCTTACCTACTCAAATCTCGACATGGACTAAACTTAATAGTTATTTTTCGGGACCTCAACTTTTGATGTACTCGAATGGTAGATGGGCAATTAAAAATAATTTTTGAGTTATTTCATAGCCTATGACAGCTGTTCTACCGATCATAGTAAAAACTTTAGCAAAGTCCCAATCTAAGTTTTTACTTGTCTCGAACAGTCTAACAATCTGAAGCAATTACACATTGCATCGTTAAATTGTTATTGTTAAAGAGTATAGAAGATAGTGACGAAAATAAAGTATAGGCAATGCAAGATCCAGCAAAGCTACCCTTTTCCTCGTCACCTCATCCCTACAACTGAGAGGCAGGCATAAAATTAACGTAGCCTTTGGGAGAATTTCATAAACACCCACGTTTCATCCATTGAGAGGATGCTAGATAACTGTAGGCATAATAGGTCTTAGAACAGTGACCTCCTGCTAGGAACCAAGATTAATTTAATCCAGTACGCCCAGCTGAAGGGGTTTCCGAGATGACAACACCTACTGATCACCACGACGATTGGAAGAAAGTAGAGAATTTATTATCATTTCTTCTTAATCCCGAAACCACCATCATCATGGAAAAAAGACTCAACTTTTCACTTCAGAATAACAGAAGCCGTCTAGGAGACCTCCTGGTGGAGGTTATCAATATCTCCGAAATTTCCTGATTAGACAAAACGGGAAATGGAGAAATAACTAATTGCAAACATCATGACACGTCAAGGACCAGCATGGAGGAACAGATTTGTCAGGATACGCAAGACTCTGGAAACTAATGAACAATTAGTCCTTCAGGCGGATAAAGGAGGAGCGATAATGACAATATACCGAGAAAAATACAGGACCACATATCGTATACTAAACAAGGACCCAACTATGAAGATCAATGAAATCTTAAGTAACATGCTGAAATATATGCATAGAAACGGGGAAATTGTCGCATGGATAAGAAAATCAATCATAAGAAAGGATGCACGACTACCAAAAGCCTACGGATAACAGAGGATACACAAAAGAGGCGAACCACCTATGTTGACAGTGAACAAAAGTGTGGAGCAACGGACAAATTGTCAAAGTTCATATGTTTTAAACTCAAGAAATTAAATCGTGGGTTATCAAACACGGTGAAACATTTATATGAATTTTCTGTAAGAAACAGACTTATTGGTAAGTTTTGATGTAGAATCCATGCATACAAACATCTTTGGAGAAAATGCGCTAACGGGCCTGCTGGAAATTCTGGATCGGGGGGAGGATATCCTGGAATCACAATGGATCATAAGGGAGTCATTAACAGGACTAATCAAGTGGACAATAAGGACAACCTATTTTACATTCAACTGGATCATTTATGAACAAATATTTGGACTTCCTATGGGATCGTCGCTCTCACTACTTTTGGCAAACGTATACATGAACAAAATAGAAAAAACTTCAAGATGGTATTGCTACAACCGACAGTGTTCATGCGGTACCTGGATGATTACTTCGCACTTGGGTCACATGGAAGAAAAAAACTGTAAGATTTTCTGATGTTTATAAACCAGATTAATGTAAGTAGAGGAAGGCGAGTGGTTACCTTTACTGGATATTAAAGTGATTAGCTCTAATGAGACGCTCAAGAAAAAATTGTTTAGAAAGAATTTTTATGACGGGATAATATTCAATTTCCAGTCCCACTACAATTAAAGGCTAATCAGAGGAATAATGAAGAGCATGACCATCCTAAGCCTAATCTTAAGGGATGCGGAATTCTGGGACGAGGAGTTGGACAAATCGACGAGGATATCCCTCGGCAACGGTTACCCAAGCGAAGTAATACAAAGAAACATACGGGCCATGAAAACCCGATGGTAGAACAGGGACTACGGGTGGAAAGTTATTCACAAAAGTGGATATCCGATCATATGTGAACTGACTCAAAAACTACGGCCAATATTTGAGGAAATGGAATATTCAGGTGGCCATGAGGGAAAAAGCAAAACTTTTCACAAGTCTACCGACGCAACCTGTAAGGGTGGACAAATTTGATTGTTTGGGGGTTTACTGCATAGCATGTGGCGCCTGCGAACAGAAATATATTGGCGAAACCGGGAGAAAACTTAGCATACGAATCAAGGAACATCAGAGGCTGTGCAGGAAAATGGATACCGAACGATCCGAATTAGCGGTACACAAGGAAGATTAGCGGGGCCATCGGCATACTTGGGAAAAAAAATATAATCAACAGAGATTGGATGAAGGCAGAGTTAGCAAGAACTTTGCCTACTGCTTAAGCAAACTCGGGGAAAACAAGAATACAGCAAAAAGGAGACGCCTGGATCAAGGATCTATCGCTAGCCAGAGGAAAAGGGATCGCGATGAGAAAAAAAGAGGGGGGAAATTTCGGAAATCAAGCCAAGACGTTATCAATGAATGATGTATATTAGAATAAATCAGTACAACTTTGGAGGACTGGCAGTCAGGGAGCTGGGCAGACGGATAAGCAAACCATCAGAGAAATTCGGCGCTATGGCCAAAATGTACTAGACATCCACTTGAGATGTCGCATGCGACCAGAAATAGGCGTCCACAGTTTGCTCAGGAAGCACGGCTTTAATCAAGAAGACGACCCGTGAAGGCAATGCCTGATATCTGCAAGCATGGGAATTAGAGCCCAGGCGCCATGCTCGGCGAGGCAGCAGTGTAGGTACTTTTAGGGTCTTGAGAAAGTGCGCCTGGAGTAAAACACCCACTGGGACTGGGACCGAGTGAAATCGGATCTATGGTACCATGAGGGAGATCTGGGTTGGAGGCCCGAATCGGATTAGCCAATCGAAAGAGAGGGGGTCGGTGTGATGAGGTGTGTGCCACCACACAAAGGGCCACACCATCTTGGTCTTCATACCTTAAAGGCCACAACATAGTTGCATAAAATGGACACACATTTT